AACAGAACCTTCCCTGCCCCTCCCACGCCGACAGAACAACCGGGTCACGGCCCCAGGGACAAACGCAGAACAACCAAGTGGAGAGAGAGAGAGAGGAAGGGGGGATTTATTCGTGCAGTTTGTCCAAAGTGCTGTGTGACCCACTTCCCCGGGTCGGTGTGGGCAGAGGACCCCGCCTGGCCCAGCCTAGCCCAACTGTGGTTCCAGCTGTGGAACCACAGCTGACAGGACTGGACCCTCTGGGAGGTCAGAGGGCAATATTTCACTGAACAAGACGACCCCGCACTGAGGCGCGCTCGATGCACAGTACACTGTATCTGTATGGGACGTGTTCAGGGCCTGCGTGGAGGTCAGCAGGCACAGGCCGTGAATTTGTTTTTTTAACTGGAGAGGGTGTAAGAGCAGGTCACAGGTCACAGGTCACAGGTCAGGGAGAGCACTCAGTCCTGGTTATGCAATATTTAATGTCCGTTTTTAAAGATGCCTTTGTGTTTTTGTTTTTTGTTTTTTTTTTGGATTTCTGTGTTGAGTAATAACTGTGGCCTTAAAGAGCTGGATTTCTGGATGAAGCAGCACAGAGCGTAGCCCCAGCAGTGTGGGAGCCTGCATGCAGACCCAGCACTGAGATACCCTGTCACTTCACAGATGGACCGGGTTCGAAAATCCTGGAACGTGTTCTTGTCCTCTGTAAATACCTGCACGTTAGCACCCGGATCTGGGTCAGTGCCCTACAGCTGCTGAGCTGCAGGATGTGGGTTTAGAGACCAAGGCCCAGTAGAACCGGTACTGCGAACAGCAGGCCCAGTTCGCCCGGTCGGAGCTCGGGTGTGGCTCTGCGTAGTTCTGGGAGTTTGTCAGTCTGTCTCTGCCTGCCTGGGCCCGTGTCTGCTTCTTTCAGAGGGTCAGAAATAGTCATAACACAGCTTGTCTACCCAAGAACATCCAAATAAACTAACTTAATGAAACGCATAGCAGTTGTGTTTTAAATCTTTAATCGATTTTGTGTTCTGTCATGAACCGTATCTGGGTCCTTCACTGCAGTCCATTCATGGGTGTCTCACGCACATCTCGGTGTCTCCAGAAGAAGAGAATTTGAGCCCATTACCTGTCGGTCTGTGTATGAGGGTGTGTAAGGATACGTCTAGACAAAGAACAGACTGACTGGTCTAGGACCCCCGATTGAAGTGACCCCTGTGCTCACAGTACAGGGTAAGAGTCACGTACTGGGAGCTGTGACTCAGTGGGATGTCCAGTCCAGTCTAAACTGTGTTCACCGGTGGTGCTGCTGCGTGCCGGACCACTGTCTGTGTTGGTGGAGCGGGGGAAATTTTCCCAAGGTCCAGAGCTGAGCGCACGTCTCTTGTTTGTGGGGAATAAGTCATGACACCTTGAGGGAGCTTGTCTGGTCCACTCCAGACCTGTGTGGCAGGAAGGGGTGACCGAGCTGACCCCCCAGACCCCCTCACTCAGGGCTGCTCCTGCCCCCTCTGCCTCAGGGCGCTCAGCTCCGAGCACCGAGCCCCGTCGATCAGCTCCAGCTCACGGATTTTCTGTGGAGGAGAGGAAACGGGATTTCACAGAGTGTCACAGTGTTCATGATGTCGCCCCTGATGATGCCATCAGCTCTGTTACCCGAGTGATACAATGCTGATGACATCACTACATGTTCTCCAACTGCACTGATGACCCTTTTGATCTGATGCTGGTGATGTCATCGGTGTGTTGCAACGATCCGTGCACGATGACACGGTGCGATGATGTCAGCAGCACGGCGTCACCTCTGTTACCTGGGAGATCTCCGTGCTGATGATGGTCTGGTACTCCTTCCCTCTTCCCAGCGCAGTCATCTCCTCCAGGAACTGCCGTCTCTCCTCGATCTCGTCCAGCACTGAGACGGGACGAAGACGCGGAGGGTCAGACTCTCGGCAGCGGTCATTCTTGAAACACTGAATCGAACTTTTACAAATCAGAAGTGCTCCAGCATGGGACAGTCTTGCACATGTGATCAGGGTGATGAAAAAGGGAAGACCCTATATGGGTATTGGTGACTTTTTCATATTTTGCATCCGTGTTTTGGTTTGCTGGGACTGCTACACATCATCACTGCCTGGTCTGGCAGATCCCTTTATGGAAAGCAGAGGTTAGGCAAGCGATGGAGAGCAGTGCTGGTCGGAGAGGTCTAGCAAACCATGCAAACTGCTGGCTCGGGCCAGTCGGTGCTCCTCCTCACCCTCCTGGAAGCGATCCCTCCCCGGGGTAGCTTCTGTCCCGGCAGCGTCGGGCAGGGGGGGCGGCGGACCGGGCTCCTCGCGCCCCGTGGCCAGCAGGCTCTGCAGACGCCTCTTCTCCTTCTCCGGGTCTCCTGGGAGTTCAAGAGGAGGAGAGAGAGGGCACGGCTGAGCTCTGCGCTCTGCGCTCTGCTGCGCTGCAGGGCACAGCCCAGCCAGGAGAGGCCCCAGGCCTGCCCTGTGTGCCGCTGCGCTGGACCGCTGGACCGCTGGACGAGGGCCCCGGTTCTGGTGCTGTAGCTCGCGGGGTGCGGCCGACTCACGTGTGGGTCTGGGGCGGAACCTCTCCCTCTGGTAGCTGTCTCCGGCCTGACACTGTTCGGCGCTGCGCCGCTGGGGCTTGAAGGCGGGGCTCGGGCCTGCCCTTGGCTGGGGTCTGGGAGCTGCGGCTGGGGCTCTGGGTACTTCGCTGGAGGTGGGGTGACAGCGCGGCGGGAGGGCGCCCCCTTCTGGCAGAGGAAAGCAACACCAGCAATGGTGCATGAAAACCGTGCTGAACCACAGCGTGGAAGACGAGTTGATGTCACTGGAGGTCTGCACGGGCATGAAACTGAAGCCCCCTACCCGAGACCTTGAGACCCAACCCGACCGAGCCCGAATGGTACTGCCTAATTTGAAGCCCGAACCTGACCAGAACCCGAAATCGATCGCTGTCTTTTCCTCTCGGGGCGAGCAGACACACGTGCGCACACGGAGACGGATTCTCACAAACCCAGTTCTGCAATGCGAGCGTGCAAAATAGGTTATGACTCTCTTCCAATAAAAATACATTTTATGACATTAAATAATAATAATTCATTTTCACTTATTAGAAAACAGACCCAAGCCCCTCATTGCGCAGAGGCGAGTGCGGCGTGAACACCAGCTCCGCCCACCCGCGGGGTCGGACAGGGGTCACCAGAGAGGAACCGCAGGACCCCGTTCAGGAGTCGTGTTTAAAAACATCCACCCCCCCCCCGCCGTGACTCAGGGTGGGTGTGATTTGGAAACGGTAATGAGCTCAGGCGAGACGAGGAGCGCAGATCCTGGCACGCCTGTGGGAGGGTATGCCAGGGCGTGTCTGGCGAGTCGTGCGATGTTCCAGGACACCCCGGTCGCCCTGCGGTCCCTCCGCACTCACTCTGCAGCCTCTCGCCGATCTGTCTCTCCTGGAAGCGGGTCAGCCGGGATTCCTGCATCATCACTGCAACGGGACACAAGTCAGGCTGTCAGGCCCCCCGACCCGGGTTCACACGCACACGCACATCCAGACACCCCCAGATCACGCTACCTTCCTCTCCACGACGGCGGAACCGTCCCAGACTCTCTGGACTATGTTATAGTCCAAGCCTGCACTGCAGGAGGCTGGAGGAAACCAGAGACCTACAGCACCACGTTGAGAACTCACGCCAACCCGTGGAGGAACATGCAGACTCCACGCAGACAGGCGGAAAGCTGGGATCTTGTCCTGCCGTCTGCAGCTGTGACGCAGCACCGACGCCCCGCCCCCCCTCAAGCACTGGATGGGCAAACGCACACGCCGGGGGACACACTCTCGGACCCACATTCGGGACACTCGCCTCTCAGGAGCTCCTGGGTCTCCTGGCTGTACTGGGGCACACGGGGGCAGTTCCACAGGCCGCCCCCGGCTCCTGGGAGCTGAGCTCTGTCTCTGGAGGACATCAGACGCAGGGTCCTGCACACAGGAGCACACAGGGGTTAAGACAATACAACCATCCATCCCTTTTCTTTATCCTATTCAGGGCCATGGAGGAGCCAGAACCTATCCCAGCAAGCTCCGGGCGCAAGGCAGGATACACCCTGGATGGGACGCCAGTCCATCGCAGAGCGCACACACTCACACCAGGGCCAGTTCTGCCGGTACCCAGTTAATCGACCAGTGTGTGTTTCTGCTGTGGGAGGAAACCGGAGCACCCGGAGGAAACCCACACAAACACGGGGAGAACATGCAGACTCCACACAGACAGCACTCGGGGTCGGGGATCGAACCCGGGGCCCCAGCGCTGGAAAGCAGCAATTGCTACCTGCTGCGTCAAGGTGCCGCCCTTAACTTGCTGTGCGCAGCACAAACTTTCAACGTGCAGCAGAGTTCAGGACGAGCTTGCGTGCCGAGAAAGAGCTGACTGTTGGGAAACGAGTCAGGTGAAGGGAGCAGTGAGCAGTCCAAGAACACAGGAACAATACCGGGCCTCGTGCCCAAGCCTCTGGAGCAACAAGATCTCTCTGTGGCTAAAACTGGGGGACAGGTAAAGTATAATAGCTGGAAAAGGTGTCTGTTCTGCAGCGAACGAGCTATAAAGCTGTCAGGACTGGAGGCAGGCTGCCGAGTCATCACTGTCCCAGTGAAAGCGCCTTGGGGTGAAAGGCAGAAAGCTGCCTCTCCAGAGGCTGCAGGGAACAGCCCTTTCTCTGTCCTGTTCCCGTCTCCCCAGGCTTGTTTCTTACCACTGCACTGC